GCCACACGGTGGTCATTTTCGTACCCTGCTGGCATTGGCTCTGTTGGACACAGGAGAAGCTTCTAGCAGCTTTTCACAGAAGCCACCCCTGTAGCCCCCCCACTACCAAAACCGTGCCACGCAAACCCAATACATGAGTATAAATTTTGATTCTGCTGTAGTGGAGTGACTGTAGGAGAAAACACTTTTTTTCCATTAATGGTCTTTTACCTTTTCTGGCAGGTGTGCCTGGAGGGAGAGATCTCTCGCCAGTCTATCATGAACAGCCTTTCTAGGGGAAAGAAGGCTTCTGGTGATCTTATTCCCTGGACCGTTTCAGAGCAGGTGAAAAATTTGGCTGTGTACTCACACCCAAGATATATTTCAGCACTATTTCTTATTCCCAGAGTACCCATCTGTGTTCTTTAAATTGACTTTTGTCTCTTCTGCAGTTCCAAGATCCGGATTTTGGGAGCCTCTCTGGTGGGCGTGTTGTTCGTATTGCAGTTCATCCAGATTATCAGGGGGTAAAGTATTTTGGAACCCAATTATTGTGAATAGTCAGCAGTGGTACCATGAGAATGGCTGTACAGGCAGAATTCAAGAACAGGGCAAACATTTCAATTGCTCCAGTTTTCAGCATTTTAAGCTTGGGGACTGAGCCAGCGGTAGTAACAGAATGAGGTCAGACGCACAGAAATGGTCAGATGCCACAGCAGGCTGGGGGGCATTGCTTTCCTCTGGGTGGATAGCAAACCAGTGCTCCTGACGTTACTAGGAGCATTGTAGCATGCCAGCATCCCAAGCAGCAGTATACAATCAAGATCCAGTGATACTTATTGTGAGATTACCAAATATTCATGCTGGTGTTTGACAGTCTCGAACTACCAGCTGGGCTCTCATTGTGATTTGGGACATGCAGGTTCTGTAGTGTCCTTCTCCATGGAGCTGCTACGTGGCAAAGAAAACGCGTTTTTGCAGAGACTGAGTGATCTCTGCACTGATGATTGTTAATGGGTTTGTAACGTTGTTGCCCTGTCTTAAAAACTAGATACATCTTTTTGCTTATAGTGTATTATTCCTACTTCCCAGATGGGCTATGGCAGCAGAGCTCTGACTTTACTGCAGATGTACTATGAAGGCAAATTTCCATGTTTGGAAGAAAAAACAATTCAAAAGCCAAAAGAAATTGCAACTGTAAGCAGTGAGGTATGGAGCTAAGTGCATTTCTTGTATTTTCTGTTTTGCTAAGCTGTTTGTTTTTCACTGTGAGTCTCAATAATGATTTCTCTGTGTAAGGAGGAAATACTCAGTTTTTGTACAGAATAAGAGATTTAATTTGTAGATTACTGTGAGGATTGCTACTAACCCATTTCCACTTTCTCTTTCAGACTGTTAGTTTATTAGAAGAGGTTGTGACACCTCGGAAAGACTTGCCTCCTTTACTTCTTAAACTGAGCGAGAGACAAGCTGAAAACCTAGACTATCTAGGGGTATCTTATGGCCTAACACCAAGATTACTCAAGTAAGACATTATTCTATTTGCTAGTTATACCCAGTGCAAAAACATAACTTTATAAATTATGTATATTAAAA